GCCCTAAAAACCAAATGGATAAGCAATTCTTCTCCTACTCAACATGATTCGCACCTGTTTCGGACTGCCACAGAAAATGTGCATCTGATCAAACTGACAATCTTCATCCTGATCTCCGCTTATTCATTCGGATAGCCAGACCATTTCATTAAGGCCACGCGCAGCGAAACTAGAAAGACAGCAGACCACCAGCTAAACCGTCGATACCAAAAACAAAGCAATGTCATCAGCGGATTAAGAGGCACCGCACTTTCAGACATCCTCCCAACCAATGGACTGTAGAACACTCGAACTTACCGAGAATGCTCTTCAGAAATCATGGTGGAGTTGACTGACAGACTAGAGGTTCAGCACTACTTGCATGGACGGACATATTTGGAACATATTCTCTTTGAAACATCAGTGACCTTGAACAGCTTTCCGTTATTTAACACAGCCGAAGTATGCCGACCTCATCGGGTTCCCATTATTCCTCCTTAAACTTCTAATTATCCGAATTTGTGAAGTTGTCCATTTTCATTTTCTGCAATCACTTCTTTCGAGTAATCCCTTAAGATGCTACAAATGAATCCCCACAGTACCTCATCAAGCAAACATAACGAGACAAATACACACGTCCGAAAATTTGTAGTAGGACATTTTCATCGGCCGACAGTTTCTTCAGCAAGCGCGGAGCCAACAGCCTCCCGAATGGTCTCATGTATCGGCCAGTGGTTGGGTGTTCCCAAAGCCAGTTGGTGAACGCAGCAAACACTTCAATCCTTAACTAAAAAACCTGTTCTAACAAACCATCCTCCGTTACCTCAAAGTCTTTCACGTCGTTTTTTAGCTTATTAGGCAGTTTTTTGGTCCCTCCATTCAAACAATGAAAATGTTGCACGCTCGTTTTCGATGTTGCCAATATTTTCGACAGCAAAGGGATGGCCGTCAGACGCACCTTCCACCAGATTCATGGGCAAACATAAAATTATTTTCCGAGCAACATGCTCACGTCTCCTTGCCTGCTGGTGCATCAGGACGCTTTATAATTCAAGCATTGCGCATGATAATATCTTTGCCGGCCACTCGTTTCGTTGTATCGCGCACTAAGATCTGCATAGCCGCAGGCTTGCGCGATTAGCGCAATGAGTTATAGTGGTTCACATCCCTACAAGTCCAACAGTTCACCTTGGTCATTCATGCCTTGGCAGCGCAAAAGTGGCAAATCATTTGGGTGCAGAGTCTGGTATTCATCTCCAAGGGAAAAAAACAGCTACGTTTATCTCGTGATGATAATTACATTTTTATGGGAGTCACCGAGTGATATCCGACTGCGTTGCTTTGTTCCGTTTTCCATGATTGTCAAAGTTCTTCTTGCATACACAGTTCTGCTAGGCGAAAACGTCAGTCCAGATATGCAGGATATGAACCAATGATGCGGTATAGTAGACACTTACGTGCGCTTAAAAAAACGCCTTAATTCAGTGAAGGCAAGCATTGCCAGATGCGCGATCCCGATTCGCAAAAATCGCCTTGAAGTTCTTCACCGACACACTTCCAAACATTCTTTCACACAACAAAATTGTAGGCGTGAATTACAACTTCAATGCCGTATTGCAGAATAACCCACTTCTCCACGTAATTATGCACACATATAAAAAGTTATCACTAGCCATGTGTAACATGCGCTTGAACACCGTAAGACAAGCGAAGATTATTCTTAATACGATGCGGTGATTTACTTTAATCATACTTAGAATGGTTGCCGGGCAATGGGATTTGTGATCCCGCCCGAAATGCCACAAATGGTCCCGCACGCACTCGGCTTAACTCACCGGCACTCGTCAGGGGTTTGTCAGCGCATTGCTTGTGGCAAATGACTCGACCCTTTATGCGATATTTAGGTGACTACGTAGATGCGGTTAACGAACATGGTATCTAGAAACGTGACTATGAACGACGCAATAATGTCACCAAAAATGCCTGTTCCGGGCATGATGTACTCTTCTGTAGACTACGCTAGAGCTTTCTCCTTCATTCAAGCTTCAGTGTGTGGAACAAGTTTGATCTTACTGAACCATGATAGTACGAAATAATTATCACCGTGGGACCAGATGCAAGTACTTTGCATTCCGCGGTAGAATTCGAAATCACATCAGTGTTTCCAAAGTGATTTGAACTTTCCAGTAATAACCGCGCGCTCCAAAAAAACTGAACCGTATATACATTTATGTAAAAAAAATAACCACGCTAGCATGCTTCCCAACAGACTATTCACAAAAATTTCATTGTTATGCAAACACAGCGTCATGCGATATCTAATTAGCCAAATTCACTTCCGCAAGAGCGTTAAGCTTCATTCCCCGAAATACGCATGGACGAGCTGAGAAGGCTTTGCGTGGAGGTTACTTTTATCCAGAAATCATTTGCGGTTGTTGATGTCTGTTATAAACTTGACATCAATCATGCTAATATTGAAGTATGTAACAACTCCGACGCATGAAACCATATGACACTTTGATCCTTCCTAAAGCGGCTATGACAGGCTAATGGATTTTGCATAAGCTAGGTGATCTGTGGTAACGCATGCTGATGTTTTGTTTATTCTATTCGCGGTTTGTACAATATGATTTATCGTCTGGCTGAACTTTAGAACTGTACCGCCCTTTTTGTTTTCGACATGATCAGGAACCGTTTTTAACCTTGTTGTCGCTATTACTGTTTAAATTAACATGTGGCTTTCTTAATCCTGTTGCCAATTTCCCTCGAGTTGGTGCAAATTTTCGATTTCATTATGAATAAGCGTTACTTCAGCTGGTGTATAAAAGATGGCGTAATTTAACCAAGTGAAGTTTGTACAAAATTAAAACAGTACTGTCAGACGGTGGGCTTGCACGTCCTGTGCTCTGGCCCAAATCCTCCATATCAAATATGCTACCGGACCAGTGCACCAAATTTAGCATTTTTCGGCCTAGACTGGGTCAAACGACTAAGTCTGATGAAGATTCCCAGATGTCAAAGGGGACGCGTGGACTTTCGAAAACTTTCTCTTGTTTATTCAGTGATACGCTGCGCTGGCCGTTCAAGACGAAAACCACTATGTTTTCAGGTTACAATTCAACACATATGTTCCACCCGTGAGTTGGATCCCCTATGTTGTCTTGCCTGAAAGAGGGAAAAGATGTGTTCGGCACCTTACTTCTGGCTAATTGGAGAATGTTATCAACTAACCAAAGCAACGACGGTGAGGCCGCAATTCTCTGAATTCACTGCGGAAATCACAGTGCATATACACAGGCGGACCGTCTTGCCAGATATCGGGTCGAAATTATGGGCGTGTATACGACGCACTAGCATAGAGCGCTGGACATCCATTTCACAATAGGAGCGTATAGGAACCACGAAGCGGCTTGTGTACTCTTCAAAATGGCAACAAACTTTCAACTGTAAACTGGAGTAGACAAAAAATAACCCACGAAGAAACCATTCGAACTGCCTCAAACAAAGGTCATTTCGAGCCATATTCAAGCAGATTGGGAGGCTTTGCGACACGAAAACGCCAAACGTTGACAAAGAGATGCGCTATAACAATGCAACTCAAAGGTCTCGAAGCTGTCTTATTGTTTTGTCCTAACAAGACTTCAGTTTACGGTCGTCGAATTTCAAACCCTCCGGTCAGGTTCAACTTACCACCCGTTGTGATTCCAACGTTATTGTTTCATCTCAACGTTCCGATCGGTATTGAAAATTTGGAATGGATAAGTCTTGCTTTTGGGCGGATATTCGGCTGCTTCACTGTACAGCTTCCACACAAACAATCTGAGTGATTCCAGCTAGCCCCACAATGTACAGAAGTGCTTTGTTATGCTTTGATTTTGCGCCACTCCTACCAGCTCGGTCGTGGAACGTACGCGTCGAATACATAATGAAAAGCATATGTACGGGAAAAATTGCGATGCCATATTTTCCTGCAGAGTGTGCTATTAATCAGACCACGGCAAAAACGAGCTTGGATACCTCTGCAGTTGTTGGCTGTTTGTCATTTGAACCAGCCGCTCAAGAACGGAAAATCGAGTTTAAGCCGCGTGCGAACTTTCAAAGCAGTGTACGACAATCTGATTTGGGGCTCATTCAGATAAGGTGTAGGACCCGCTGCCGGCGCAAACAACGGGAATCTCTTAGGTGAAGTAGACTGATTTGTGATTGGCGAATCAATGTTGCGTTTTTGATTAACGTTTTCACCTCGTATAACACGGGAATAATTCTTTCGTTGCGGCATCTTTCGGTTTTCATCCAACAGGCTACCCGTGAAAGGAAGTGGCATAATCGAACCATCAAATTCTTCGTGGAGAGTACAAGTGCTCGTTACCCGCAATGCAAATCACAAGAGACGCATGGTGATAGACTACAGCCAGACAATCAATCGCTTCACCTCCCTTGACGCTTATCCTTTACCAAGGCTCGACCAAATGATTGAAACCATCGCACGCTACACCGTCTACAGCACACTGGATCTCCAGAGTGCATATCATCAGGTTCC